ATTAGTAGTAGTACAACTTTCTACTAGCAGTAGAAATAGTTTAGCAGCAGCAGTAGTATTATTAGCAGTATCGGTAGCAGCGCTTTTAAACAGTACTGGTGTTGCAGCAGTACCTGTATAATCAGCAGTAGTAGTATCAGAAGTGCTAGAAGTAGTGTTAACAGCAGTATGTTTTAATAGCACTACCACTGATACTACCACTGATACAGTAGCATTTGTATCAGTGACTGTATCAGTATGTACAGAAGTAGCAGAAGAAAAGCAGTACTATTATTTTGAGTAGTAGTAGGAGTATCTGTAACAGCAGCCGCAGTAAAACTGTGTCTGCACATTAGCAGTAGTAGTAATGCTGTATCAATAGTACTATCAGTGTGAGTCTTCAGTAGTTTTAATAGTTTTGCTGCATTGCAGATTTTTCTTCTTGAGCAACAACACACACCTGGACTGTGTGTGTGTGTGTGTGTGTGTGTGTATATACAGTGATGGTTAAGGTGCCCTTGGCTCAGCACAGCAACACTGTGTGCATGCAAATACACACAGACGCACACAGTGGGAACGGCAGGGTGGTTTCCTGTTTGGACTCCTCACATCACAGCGTGCGTGTGTGTGTGTGTGTGTGTGTCTCTGGGAGTGGCAGCTTCTGCTCTGCAGAGAGAGAGAGAGAGGTGAAGTGAGGTGGGATGTGTATGTTTCTCCTTCACTGCAGTAGAACTGAGACAAGTCGATTGATCAGCTTTAATCTGCAGCTGTTTTGATAACTGATTAACCATTTCAGTCTTCGCCTGCTCTGCTCAGCGTGTCCAGTATCTCTGGGTTTTCTGTCATCTGGCTCTTTAGGCTTTAGACTGTCAGACAAGACGCGACTGTCCAGGACATCGCTGTGAACACTTTACAGATGAAACAGATAATCAAGAAATCATCAACAGGTGAAAAGATGATGGCCAAAGTCTTCAGTTGCTGCCTTACACTGTAGAAATGACTGTAGCAGCACTCCAGGTAACACAGGCCTGGAGGTGTGAGAAACATAACAAAGAAGAGCAGGAAATGAAGTAACCATCCATAGCACAGGTGTTTCACGCAGCATGCCAACTAGCAGCAGTGTTAAACTCAGGTGCAGGTGGACTGTATAACATGATGAAGCACAACAGTACATACAGCTCATTCAGACCAGACGGCATTAAGGTGTCTGGATGATGAATCCATGCCATGTGCTTCACTGCAGGAGGCAACTATCATCACTGTCTGCTGTAGGAAACTGCTACAGCCTCATTTGAAAGCTGCCTCAGTGCATCTCAAACCACTGCTCAGCAGAGCAGATCTCCGGTCTGGTAGCCACTGAACCTGCACACAATGGAGTAAATCAGAGGATTTAAGTGAAACCCAGGCTTGTTCTTATTTTCCTCTGTCGGTGATGATTAATATGCAGTCCTGGTACTACGGAGGGCTTTTTATATGTTATTAAACTATCTTTCCAGGCTAGGAAAACCTCTTCTGACTTAGTGGAGCACCACCTCCTTTCAGCTTCTTTTTGCTCTCGTTTGCAAATGCAGTCTTGAGAGTACCTGATTAAATAAAGCTTATATATGTCACCCTCCACCAAAATAAATGTATAACTAACATTAAAACGGTTCCCCTACTGCAGTGTCTTCCTTTGTTCGTTAGTCTGCAGTCAGTTTGTGTTTCTTTATCAGACCAGACCGGCTGCTACTTAACATGTAGGATGCATAATCACTGCTGAGTGAGACCAAGTACTTTCTGATGGTCCCCCACTGTAAACGCCAGCCAGTCACACAGAGCTAGTAAAACCCAGAGGCACAGTTTGTGAATCTCTCTGGACTGAACTATTCTGGATGTAGCGTCATCTGACCGTCTGCAGTCTGTTTCCCTCCTCCCCCCTCTTTGTCCGTTGCCATGCAGGATGCTATGGTTGCTGTGGTTACCAGTCTCCGGTTGACAACATCATTTATTCACGAATGTGCCGAGGAAACAAAGAGAGCGAGAGAGAAGTGTGATGTGTGAACTGTGGGTCGACTGTCCTGTAGCTTTGACAATCCTCTGACTGACTCCTGTGGGTGACATGTGATGAGGTCAAGATCAGGTGTGTGGACAGAGCTGGATGTCTGTGCATTTTGTCCTCCCTCATCATCTCACAGCATCTGCTCCATTTATAGACGATGATGTCAGCAGTATATTTCTCCCAGCACCCCCACCCCCCACTACTCCTCCCCCTCCTCCTCTGTTCTCGAGTGTCTCAGTACGACGCCGTCTCCCTCCTCCATGTTTCTATTTTTTCTTTGGCTGAAAAACGAGCAGTCGGCTGTTTCTGGTGTTCACCCTCCCCCTCCCCTGTGCAGAACCCCCCTCCTGCTGCAGTGTTCAGACTGAGCTGATGTCTTTGTCTCTGTCTGACTGGTCTTATTGAGGTGATGCTGCAGACCTCACCTGAACCTGAACCTCTTGTTTATTTACCTTTATTAAACTAAATCTGAGAGGGAACAATGTGAAACATCCAGGGTGACGTATTCAAATGTCTCCTTTTGTGGGATCAGTTATTGTTTTCTTTTGTACCGTTGATCAATTAATAAATTATTTGGCCAATCACTATGCCAATAACCCATCTTGCATATATAAGTTGCATATTCTGGGGAAGGCTAGGTCAGTCTCGGCAGACCCCAGTCGCTCTGTCTTTGGAGACCCGGTGATGCTTCCGTCAGGACCACAATATTCCGTCCAAGAAAATTCTGTCGTACCAACGGCAAGCGGTCTGTCAGTCGACCAGAATTCTGGCAAATACTGAGGCTGCAATATATGAACATAGAGGATCTGGCACATGTAGGGTTTGACCTGAGCTGTGTTACAGTGAGGCCACTGTGCGTCTGATGTAGTGTACTGTTTGTAAGGGGTGGGTTTTACATTGTGTTAGGTTCAAACTGTGTTTGATTGACTCTGTTGTGATGGTACCGTTGGCTGCATACACATTGCCACTCAGGGGTTATAATAAAGTTACATTGACCTTATCTTACCTTGACCTTGACCAATCACTGCTGACATGGATGAATGTTGTGCTTCAGTTTGGCTGTAAATCTTCCAGTTGATTGGATAGAGGTGGGTGGTGGGAAACCACAAGGACAAAATGAAGAAGAGAGGGTTTACACAGAGAGAGGGAGAGACTGCATTAATATTCATCCCCACTCATTATTATAAAGCTCATGAATTATTGGTGGCATGTAAAGGTCTACAGAGAGCAGAGGAGGAAATAGGAGAGAGTAAGGGGAGCAAGAGGAAAGGAGGAAACAAAGGAGAGGAGGAAATGAGAGAACAACATGAGAGGGTGGTGTAAGTGAGACCTTGGTCTCTCCATGAATGGAAGCCTCACTGTTGCCATGGGAAACTGCTGAGGTGTTGCCTAGCAACAGCAGCAGCTCCTCTGTGTGTTTCTGAGCACTGAATGACAGAGCAGCAGGTTATAGTGGCACCCATTTTATCTCTACCCATCACCCACACCCACCTACACTGTGGTGTCCTCTGTCTGACTCCAGAGGCAGCAGGCTGCAGATGCTGAAGGGCTCGTCCTGCTGCCTCTGTGTGTGTGTGTGTGTGCATGTGTGAAGTATAAATGTCAGTGAAGCTGCTCTCATTAACCTGAGCCTTTGTTTGTGTTGTTGATGTAGTGATTATTAAAAAATGATTTTATCTGCAGCTGCAGTCAGACTAAGTCATGACAGCTGGTTGCAACTGCATTCAAAAACTACTTCTGATGTCTGACAGCTGAAATAAATGTGTAAAAGAGAACAAGTATATTGTGAATAGTGCGATAACAGAGTGGTTAAGTCAGCTGTCAGGAATTTCACACTTTAGAGATGTGAGCTGGTCAAAAATAGACCCTGTGTGTAAAGATAGCACAGTGGGGGAAAGAGCCAGGATATAGCATGTAAAGTGCACGTAGCAAGGTGTGACATCACGCCTTGGTGAAAACAACGGACTGAATGGAATACAGCACCACTGGCAGCTGCATCAAAATCCAGTATGAGCCAATTAAGAGCAAATGTATTATATATAGTGTAGGCAGCACGGTGGCGTGGTTGCCTCACAGCGAGCGGGTTCTGGGTTCGAGCCCCGGCCGACCTGGGGCCTTTCTGTGCGGAGTTTGCATGTTCTCCCCGTGCTTGCGTGGGTTCTCTACGGGTACTCCGGCTTCCTCCCACAGTCCAAAGACATGCAGCATCGGTTGATTGGTGTCTCTAAATTGCCCGTAGGAGTGCATGTGTGTGTGACTGGTTGTTCGTCTGTGTGTTAGCCCTGCAATGGGCTGGCGACCTGTCCAGGGTGTACCCCGCCTTTCGCCCGCAGCTGGCTGGGATTGGCTCCAGCCCCCCGTGACCCCATTTACAATCAGGTAATTAATGAAAGAGTCTGTCAGCCTCTCCGAGGGTCTGATTAGTGTCAGTCGCCAAGCTGAGGCTTATTCTAGAAACAGGAGCTGGAGAGAACGGGCAGCCGCCTGTCAATCTGTAAGCCAGAAAATCTTACTGACAACTTAAGAGTTGAGTGAATTAAGAGTGAACCATAGAAATACAATGACCTAGTGTTTCTGCAATGACGTTGATGCTTTTGGAATGGGAGTCAAATAGAGCCAGGATTCAACGACTGCACTGGCGTCAGCCTCCAGCTGCCTGGTGAGTGGTGGGTGCTGTGGACAGAAGAAAGCTGGGAGGTTGGGCATGTCCAGAACAGTTAGCTTGTTAGCTACATTACCACCTCTGCCCGTTCTGTCTTATCAGTCTTCTCTGTGAGCTCTATGTGCTACCATACTGTGTGTCTTTTATTACCTTCAAAATAAGATATTTCTGTGTCTAAAGGCAAACAACAAAGTAAAAGCTATAAAAAACATAAGCATAATCATTAAATGATTCAGAAGCAAACCACACTTTGCACTGGGAGCATTTCCATCTCCCTTGAACTTTACTGTTCTCTGTTGTGTGTTTTTTTTTTTAATCCAGGGTCCAGTATCAAGACTCTTGCACTGTTTCCATGGCAACACTGCCATCTGAAGGAACTCGCCTGCAGTCTTCAGCCAGTGAGAGCCAGGTGGCAGCAAGACGGGCCAACGATGTGCTGAGGGAGATGGGGAGTCTGAGGAGAGAGATGGAGATGCTGCTGACAGTGAGTGAACAGTAAAACTCAGACTAGGGTGCAGTCGAGCACAGTACTGCTCCTAATCCCAGAGGACTGCCTCAAAAGCAGCCTGGTGTCTACTGAGAGTTTGTTTGTTGAACTAAAGTCTGGGATTTCTGTTGTCCAACAGCCAGAAAACTCTCTGAAAACCACTAAGCCTCCATCAGACCACCTCCAGTCCCAGCACAAGCAGCCCCAACAGACCCAGTCCCACTCTCAGCAAATGCAGTCCCTACAATCAACATCCAAAAAAACCCAGTCACAGTCCCACCAAGGCCAGTCCCATCAAACCAAATCCAAGCTATCCCAGTCCCAACAAAACTACTCCCCTCAGTATCAGTCCCAACCATATCAGTTTCAACACCAACCATCCGAAACCCACAACAAACATTCTCAATCCCCAAAAGCCCAGCCCCATCAAAGCCTGTTCCAGGAAACCCATCCAACCCAGTTCAAGCAGTCCCAGGCCATGCTGGTCCAGAGGACACCTGTGGTTCCATCCTTGTTGGAGGAGGCAGGCCGGGCTCTTCGTCAGGTTCAGAGACAGAAGAAGGTTCTGGAGGAGAACCTGGAGGTTCTGCTGAGAGCCAAGACCGGAGAGGTCCTACACTGCCAACTGGAGGCTCTGGCTGCTAACAGGTAGCTGATGCTAACTAACTGTCTGCTAGCTTTGCTCCTTACAGACCAAACTAAGAAGAGAAATGCACAGGGAATACAAATTAATTTGCATATGAACAGTAAATGCATATCAGCAGAGAAGAGTATGCACTGAGTTGTAATGAGAAACCTGGTTGAAAAACATTTTAAAGGTAACTTAAACTTGAATCAGCATTAAAATGTTTGTTGTTATAAATAGTGTTTCCTACTTAAAAGCTAATGAGACACATGTCTGTCAGTGCTCTGAGTTTTCACATCCTTTGTGGTACTGAATAATATGCATTTGCAGCATCTGGACCTAGTGTGACACATGCAGTTGTTTGTTTGTTTTTTTAAAGTGGGAGGATGCGTGTCTGCTGCTGTGTGAGGGTTCGTCTACTTTGCAATAAGCTCCGCTAGCATATAACTTTCCTCCATCGCCTTATCAGACAGTTTCATTCCATCCCACAAACAGTCTTGATGCCTCTGGTGCAGATCCCGTGTGCTTAGGCCACGTCTCTTTCAACGTAGATGGCATGTTTGGTCTCTTCAGTGCCTCTTCAGCTTGCTTGGCACCACATCAGCATTAGGTAACTTCTCCTGACAGATGATGCACTCGAGCTGAGGGCTGTTGACATCAGCGGTCAAGCTGAAGCCATAAGACGGGCAGATTTCATGGTTCTTCTACTGACAGTTCTTTTCTCTTTTCTTGAGGTGGTTCTTTTATTCTTCTACTGACAGTTCTTTTTCTTTTCTTGAGGTGGTTCTTTTATGCTCTAGGATTTGCCTCTGACTTGGGAAATGAGTGCGTACATAGTACTGATATAGTAAATAAAAAAAATCATTGATAACTTATTGTATCATTATATACTGTAATACTAATGTATGGTTGTCACAAAATCCCATGGCACACCATTTGGGAACTGCTGGGCTAAGGGGTTAGATTCTGTCAGTGAGCGTCCTCACAGCTATTGAAAGACCAGCGTGTGTGTGTGTCTGTTCGCCATGTTGATTGACAGCCAGCTTGTGCTGACATGACACATCGCTTTGAAATCCCTCCGCCCACATCTCACTGCTGCTTCTTATTCTCCTTACTCCAGGAATAAAATGTAAGCGACCAGAAAATGAAACACCACAGAATAAGACTTTGTCATGCAAAGAACACCCTTTGTCCCCTGTCCCCTGCAGAGACTGGACAGACGAGGTTCGGATCAAGAAGACCGTGGACGCCTGGATCAGTGCCTTAACTGAAGACATCCATGTGAGCTCTCACTCTTGCTCTGTGTGCGCTTAAAAAGTACGTTGTTAACCCTGCACAAACCCTGTCCTCTTCTTCTCCTCCTCAGGCTGAGATATCCTCGGAGGATGCTGCAGTGACATCACAACAGAGGGCTGCTGGGAGCTCCGCCCACTCAGGCAGGAGGAGGAGGCCAGTGAGCACGGTCGGAGGAACAGGAAGTAAGACAGTGGCGGGGAGAGGAAGCAGAGGACTGACAGCTGGACACAGAGTGGTGAGACTGGCCTCTGATCCGTCTGATTGGTTTAATCAGTAATCCAGGTGATCAGTCTGTCACTGATGATGTCTGTGTCCAAGTCCCTTGGAGTGGAGCCTAACAGAGCACCAGGTGTGCTGGCAGACAGTGACCGGGTGGCAGGAGAGACGTACCTGACTTGTCTGTATGGCAGAGCTCCGTACGAAGGTCTGAGACGAACCCTGAAGAAGAGTCCATACCTTCGCTTCAGCTCTCCCGCCTCACCCCTCAGAAGGAAGCCCCGCCCTCGCCTGGTGGAGCGCATCAGAGGTCAGAAAATACAAAACACTGAAATCTCAAGGTTATGAACGTAGGCGAGTAGCTCCAGTTTTAACTGAATTTAGGGGAAATGTGCTAAAGGAACGCTGACTGAAGTCCCGTCTCCACCACCTCCTGCTGTGTGAATCTGAGCTGGCTGGCTGAGGGCTGAGTCACATGACTCATGAATGTCACTGTGCATTCACTTTCACTATGTACTTTGTTGCAAACAGCAACAGTTTCTTCACTGATGAAGCCTGGTTCCTGGTTCCAGATGGCATTTTATTCTTGAGCACATAAAGGTTTTTATTACAGCCTCACTTCCTGCTTTACGTGACAGAGCCTGCTCTGTTTCCATGTTAAAGTGCTGTAAGAAACATGTTCTGTACAAACACTGCACTGGCTTTGGGATCAAATGTCTTGTCTCTGTCCTCTGACAGGTGTGAAGGTGAAGTCCTGTAAGACTCAGACGTGCTTGGCTCCGCCCCTCAGCCCATCACCTGTACAACCTCATCAGTACACCTTTAGCTCTGTCCACACGACCTCTGTTCCCATGGCAATCCCACTGCGTCAGTTAACTCATGAATATCTTCCGATTACTATTTACAAAAAGACAGATAAGGTGACACAAACTAATTCATTAGGGTTATGGTAATACATAAAAGTAAAGTAAAAAGAAAAAAAGAGGAATGAAAATCTAGTATGAAATAAGTTAATGCATATAAGCAAAATATGAAATTGGTCCTCAGCAAAGAGGATAAAGTAATAAAAAATCTAATTGGTACCAAAACAAGAAAGTAATAAATCAAAGCCTGTCAAAATAGTAAGGAAGAAACTGTGAACACAAAGAAATAGAAAACAGTCAAATATACTGAATTATTTAAACACTCTGTTCTTCCCCTCAGGTCGTCCCAGGATTAACTCTTCCTCCCGGTGTCTTCTCACTGAGCATCAACAGGAAGTTACATCACCACATGTAGCTCCTCCCACAGCTGCTGTGGCCACACAGGTGAGCTAGTTGTGAATCATCGGGTCAGTAGCCCTGGTAGCGCCCCCTACAGGGCTCCAGGGGGATTTACAACATGAACAGACATCCTGTTGATTTGTCTTCGGGTGTTACTGTGGTAACCGGCTTCAGCATCAGTCTGGTGATGTTTAATATGAACCTGCAGGTGATTCTTTACCTTGTGAAATACTTGGATTGATTGTACAGAAATCAGGGATGGGCAAACTGTGGCCTGTGGGTCAAATCTGGCCCACCAACAAAAACATTCGGCCCCTAATGAAGTTTTTACTTTTTATAAACAAACACTTTATTTTTCCCAAAGGAATTTTAAAAGTTTTAAAGACAGGTGTGGTTGTGTTGACAGAGGACGGAGCAGCTGGATGCAGGCGAAGCTCCTCCTCCTCCATCGCACACTGTCTACATTATCGAGAGAAAGAGTGAGGAAGACGAAGATGAAGAGAATGTCTTCCCTGGAACTGACTTCCTGTCTGTCGCTGATGTTGTCCAGGTAACATTTATATTCTCCTCTTTCTCGTTTCTTTCTCCTCTTCCTCTTGTACTTGTGCTCTTCACTGTGCAAAACTTCTTCAGTTTTATGTCGAACACTTCTAACTTTCCGCCAACACTGAGCATCAGTCATCTGATCACCAACAGGTGTACCAGGTGGTTACCTGGGCTCAGAGGCATCCTGCTTCTGTGGAAGTCTCACATGGCTCCTGACAACATTCTCCCCTAGCAAAGTCAGAAAAAACTAAATCAGGCGTTCACAGTTATTCTTGTGGTTGGGAAATGGTCTCCAGTCATTGTAAATTAAAAATCTACCTGATTAATGTATGTTGCTCACTGCAGTGGAGAAATATCAGGCTGAGGTGTGACTTGGCAGAATAGTTGAAATAATTCATTACCCCCAGGTCTCTGGACGAGAGGTGACGTTTAAACATCCTGAAGGTTTATTTCCTCAGTCTGACTTTCTGGATTCTCGCAGGTGATACAGTCTGAATTTCATTACAACTGCACAAATCTGCTCCACGGTATTTTATGTTTTAATGTTTTATGCTTGGTTTTAGCTATTTTTTCTTTAGCTTCCTGTACTGTAGTGATCTGTAATGTGTTGTCTTCTAAAGAGGCACACTCAGTAATAAGAAGATGAGGACAGACAGCAACACTGTTCCTTGTTTTACTAGATTTTATCTAAATAAATGATTAGCCTCAGCTTTGTCCTCCGTCCCCTCAGGAGGAGCTGAGTGTGGTGGGTGAGGACGCTGTGGAGTTGGATGGAGGTCCGTCTCCCCCACCAATCCCCTACCAGGGTCCAGTCTTCCCTCCACAGGCCCACAGTGCCCTCCCTGCCCAGGATCAGACCTCCATCCTGGTCCTGGACCAGCAGAGGGATGCCTTGCAGAACCGTCTGGTGGAATGGTGAGACCCCAGTCTGAACTGGATTGAACTGGTCCTGGCGGACAGCATGTCTCTACTGTATTCTGTTCTCCTCTGTTCAGGGTGGAGCAGCAGCTGATGTCCAGGATGATCTCAGAGATGTACCACCCCACCCTCTGCGACCCCGCCCAGAACGTCTCCAATGACCTGTCAGAGTCTCAGGAGCAGAGCATCACCTCAGATATTGGTGTGTGACAGAGGGACGGACCAGCACTAGACATACATTCATTACACATTTAATTCTATTACTACAATGAATATCAGTCTCTAGTCAGCTTTAAGCTCTGCCTGCCTTTGCATCCTAAAATGTTTTGCACAGATAGAAAACTTGGAGGAAACTTGTAGACTTTGGTGAAGGTTGCAGACTGAGTCCGGTACAGACCTGAACACACCTGTGTCCTGAGGTATAGGGGTCTGGGACTGACAGTGGTGCTACCTATTCTGTGCAGTGGAAGCAGCAGGAGGTGGAGGTCTGCAGCTGTTTGTAGACTCCAGCGTGCTGGTGGACTCAGGCCTGATCAGACAGCTGGTCCATGAGGTTCTGACAGAGATCATTGCTCTGATTCTGGGACAGAGAGACGCACTGGATACAGGACCAGAACCAGGACCAGCGGCACGTCAAGAGGTACAAAAAGCCATTGCACAAAGAACAAGCTGAAAATCTTCAGTTTCTGTCTTTGTTCCTGATCCTGCTGCTTCTGTTCTAGGACAAACTGGTTCCACTGGTCCCCACACCAGTACCCACTCCTCCACCCAGTCCAACCCCACCCAGTAGGGAGACCACACCCGTGACCACACCTCCTCCATCTGATCCAGTCATCCTGCAGAATGAGGAGCCTCCCCAGCCAATCACAGCTCCAGGTTAGACACAGCAGCATTCGTAGATAATGGCTGCATTAACATTAGCATGAGCATTCCCTGGTGTGTTCATTGTAGAAGTAGCATTAATAACACATACAAGCTTTTAGCAGAAGTAGTGTTAGCATCAATACACTTACTTTATACTTGCCATTTGTGCCTATGCACCCAGTGGTGCGTACAAAAAAATTACATCAAAACTGCTGGTGCGCATTGGTGTCGTTTTGCCAGGCCGTGCACCTTTTAGTTCTGTACCTTGACATGCACCAAACAGGAAATGGACGAGCTGGGAGAGAGTGTGAGTAGGTCCGTCTCTCCAAACATTCAATACGACCTTATACACACAACTGTGGTTTGGCGTGCTGGCTAGGCAGAAAGCTGAAACACATGTTGTCCACCACACAAGCATCCATTCAGCTTCATTCAGCTGTTCTGTAGGTTCAATATGTATGACTAGCTAGCCGGCTAGTTAGCTACATAGTTCCTGTAGATGTCTTCTTCTACTGCTAATTCAGCAGTGTAGATTGTGTTTTTCTCAGCAGCAACACTTGTTGACTGCAGCTAGTCAACCACGAGTATAAATGGTTCTGGCTCTGTGTTGACTGGCAGCTGGCGCACACACTTGTATCCTCATTAGTGTCTCTTAGTTTCCCTGTTTCGGTGTCAAAACAACATGGAGCATCTAAAAGGTTTACCATCATATCAAAGCTGAAATAAAGAAGGCAGTGCAGGGTGTATCTGACTATACTCTCTGTCTGGCTGTAACTTCAGAGCTTGTAGCCACGCCCACATCCACTCCAGAGCCCGCCTCAGCAGATAGTCCACCTGCCGCTTCTCAAAGCCTGCCCCTTCTGACATGGGGAGATGCTGAGCTGCCATTGGACGAGGAGAGACCAGAGGAACCCCCAGATACACACAGACAACCACTGTATGTCCACACACTTACTGCAGAAAGCAACAGCCACAGGTTCTAAATGTAAATATAAATGTCTGTGAGCTTTCTGACTGTTGACTCAGGATGTCTTTTAAATGATGTTGACTTTGTCCTCACACACACAGAGACAGGCTGGGAGCAGGCTCCCCATGTGGTCGCCTTCACTGTGTTATAGTAGGAGTAGTAGTAGCACTACAGAATGCAGTTGCTCTCATTTACAGACTTCAGTTTCTGTTGTCAGACACAGAATCAGGATGAAATATGATTTATACGCACAGCAACCTTGAGGACAGCCATGTGTATCACCACCATGTTAAATGGTTCCAAATTAGACCTGTGACAACTGTAGTGTTTGAAGTTAAAGTGCAAGGCATTTGATCTCAAGTATAACTCAGAGTGGTTAGAGAGACTACAGTGGAAATACACACCCCAAAGTTCAGCCTTGGACACAAGTCAGTTTATCTGTGACTTCCACTTAAAAATGACAACATGAACAAGGTTATGGAAGAATCTGTGCACACAGCCTTGTTGCTTTGTCCTGGATCGTGCCTGATGCAGTGTGGCTTCACATGGAGAGGAACTGTCTGAACAAGGAAGAAACCAGGTGGTGAGACTTGATAGAGATGGAAAGGGAACAAGAGCATCAGCAGCTGGTGAACATCAGCTGAAACACTGCAGCAGTGGGTAGGAGGGACAGGAGGAGTCACACTACCAAAAACAGAAGGAGCACTGGTCGTCCACAAGAAGTGAATCTACTCGAGTCTCTATTTACACAAGGCTGCACTGAAAACAGATGGAAAGTGTTTCTGACTTGGTACTGGGATTATCTGAGGAACCTAGTGTTTCACTGATGATCAGTGGAAGCATGACGTATGGATGGCGTCACAAAACTGATTAGTTTGGTCAGTTGACACCAGACTAGGTTCAGTAGGATCACATGGGCCCAGCGTGCTCTGAACATTGTAGTGACGCTGAGCACAGGTTTTGTTGTAACTTCATAAACACAACATTTTAACCAGCAGTTATTCTCTGGGAGTGTGGGTTGTGCACATCCTCAGAAATGAACATGTATGTGAGATGCAGGTTAGTACATGACCAGTGGAGCCAGAGAGTAAATGGTCTTGTACTTGTAAAGCACTTTTCTACACATTGAAGCCCATTCAGAGCGCTTTACACTGTTTCCCATTCAGCCATTCACTCACCAGTGATGTCACCGGGAGCAACTAGGGGTAAAGTGTCTTGCTCAATGCCACTTCAACATGTGGAGAAACTGGGGATTGAACCGCAGTCTCTATAGCCTGGACAGCCGCCCCAGACTCAGTCAGCATCAGCTCTGGATCGCCACGACAACAAGGAAAGCTTTGTAAAGGAACCCTGAGCTCAAAATCAACAATGCTGTAGATTCCTCACATACAGTATTATCACGGGCTGGGCCCAAATCACTGACTACTCACTGTATAGTGTGTTCACCATTGTGTAGTGGTGTCCACATGCTGAGTGTGTAAATCTGTCCATTATATAGTACACTCAAAACTTCCATAGTGGAAGGAAAAACATACAGCCCATTTGCACACTGGCAAACAGGCTGACAGACACTCAGAATTAGAAATATTCTGCTTTTAGCCAGAGATGATCGGACCCTACTCTGCTCCCTAGTGGACACACGTTGAATCCACCAGATAAACACCAAGTACACGGGCACGTGCTGTATGTGAACTGCTGATGTCTGCACATCCACATTGGTAAAAAGCAAGAAGAAGTGTGGGGCTATGATGGACCTCAGACTCCATCTACCTGTCTGTCTCTCACTTCACATCCTGATGGTCAGACTTCATTATTCATGTGTTCTCACAGAAATGGTTGAAGCAGGACTGTGAGACTGATTGTGTGTCTTCATGTCCTACAGGCTGATGTCAGTAGCAGAGGAGGAGCCTCCCCTCTCCTCCCCTGTTACTCCTCTTCCCTTCCAGACCCCTGCTCCTTCCCTGTCACCTCCTGCCCCTGTCCCTGACCCTGACCCCAGACCAGCGTCCCCCTCCAGCTCCTCAGAGAACTCCAGCTCCAGTAGCTCCAGTAGCTCCAGTAGCAGCAGTACAATAACAGCAGGAACCGATGCAGCCCTGAAACACATCTCAGAGGGAGAACTGCTCATCAGTGTCAACCATCTGACTCCCTTGACAGGTATTTCTTCATCATCATCATCTTCTTCATTAACAAACCTATGGACAGAACTGCTGACTTCAGACACATACTGTGCATGCATTAGGAGGCTTCCCTGTACCAACATGGCGGCTGTAGTGAACTGCAGGGGCTCATGAGGAATCTCCAAGTTTGTATCAATGGTTTACAAGGTGATAGTGAATTTTAGGGTCGCCCTCTGCTGGAGAGAAGGCAAACTATTTCAAATACTGTTGAGAACGGAACTGTGAAGTTAAAATTCAAACAGGTCATGACAGTCAGAATATTTCATTTTCTGCCTCAGCTGTTAACAAAAGGTTAAATGTTGAATAAGAAGTGACTGCTCTGCTGCAGACTGAACCATGCAGGGTATTTGACAGGTCTGCATGTGTCCGAGGAGGAGGCCATCTGCAGTTTCTCCAGCTCTCTGCAGGAGCTGCAGGACGTGGTGAGAAACACTCAACACTCACAGCAGTAGTACTACTGTTGTAATGGTAGTAGTAATACAGTTACAGTCTGTTTGTTTGTGTCTCTCCTCCAGGACTTTGACCCCCCCAGTGAAGGACAGGTCACAGATCACAAACTCTTGCTGACCAATATGGAGCAGGAAGTCTCAGACCGAGAAGAGGTACACAATACACACAACACACACAGTAGCTGCGCTTCCACTGTCAGAGCATAATGAGCGCTACACCCCGCGCTTCCCTTAACCGTTACCCGGCATAACCTCACGGGCTGACACGGTCCGTACTGCTCTGCTTTTCCACTGTATTTTGTGCTGTGTCTGTCTCTGCTTAGAGGAGGGAGGGGCTGTTCTCACTCCACAGTGCAGCAATCAGCCAGTAACAGAGCCTGTAGGAGCAGAAATATGACGTCTTCACCGCTTTGCTCACGGCCCGCTCGCTGCAGGCCCCATTTTTCCCCTAAGTCAACGAATGAAGTCCTCATAACTGGCATCTAAGCCAGTGAGTGTAATAGCTGAGGTGGGAAGATGCTGACATTTAACCAATAAGTGACAGCTCTGCGAGAACCCATTCCCTCCAGCCTCATGCTCCTGGAACTTGATTTTTGTACTACCTCCTGAGGGGTGCCAAAATTTAGCTCCTGTGGAAAACAAAGACATACAAAATCACTGGCTCCATCCTTTAAATCAAATTATCGCACTATGAACAGACTGAAAACATTCGCTGGCACAACAACCAGCCCCCCAGGAAAAGCTGCAGACTGGGGAGCAGTTTTGTTTTCTGTGCTCATCACATGACCCGCACTGGCCCACAAAGCATTTTCACCATCAACAGAGTGGCTGTAAAACATCACAGACATGCAAAACCCCTCTTTGTTATCAGAATTTGATCCATTGGCTCCAGTATCTTTTGGGAAGTCTAGAAGACCTGTAGGATATTGTCAGTGGATCGTATTCATGTGTGAAGGTAGAAACCACAGCCACTCGGCTCGGTGCTAGCGAGCATTCTCTTGTTGTTGTTCTTCTTCTTTGACACTCAGCAGTAAAGAAATGACAGAAACTCTAACACAACTAAAATTAACCTGAAATGAACTGATTCCTTCTGTGTGTTTTAGGTTGTTCCCATCCTGGTCCCACAGCACAACACACAAACAGGTAGGAAACACACCGTTTGTAATTCAGTGTTTCTGCTGTGAGAGAGAACTCCTGCCCCTCAGACTCGGGCTCACCTGTGTGGTCAGGTTTACAGGAGGTGTTCATTTCTATGTTGCTCGTCTGGCAGTAAGACTTCCAGCTGTGTGTCCATTCATTCCTTCATTTAGGAAATTAAAATGTACAAATAAAATAGATGAGGCCTTTTTTAGTGTCTGCTACCGACTGTTTCTGGTTATAATATAACAGTACAGTACATGTCATTAGTCATCACTTCCACTCTAATTTAAGTCATGAACCAGCTAAAATGTTTCTTTAAATCTAACTTATATCCAGTTTTTACACACTGAGAACAAGTTGCAGACAGACTGCACGTCCTCACCTTGACCACCAGAGGGCAACGTGATTCTGTACTTCTACTGGCTAAGTGATTCTCTGGACGCTCAGCTGAACTCCACTGAGTTGAGTACTGACAGCTCAGTAACTGTCTGCAGACTCCCAGTAAGCTTTACTGGTCCAGCTGGTTCTAACCAGTCTGATCTTTGTCTGTGTAGTTTGATTTTGATACTGTTTTTCTGCAGCCTCCCCCGTGACCACACAGGTGAACCAGCAGCTCCATGAAACACACACTGAACATTATCACCTTCATGGAGGGTTTACTGCAGGAAGATAGATAGGTAAATAGATCATTGTGAGGACCGGCAACCTTGTCCTCACAATGATCCACACATAGTTAAGGCATAAGTTTGTATGTGTGTTTAGTTCCACAGTGTCTGCACACATCCAGCCACTCTGTCAGCACATCTCCATACATGGTAATGTTTACACTGACCCAATGAGCTGCTCCACTGTGTGTGTGTGTGGGTGGGGGGCATACACTGTGAGGACACATTTTCTGGTCCTCACCCCTTCATAGGACTGTTTGAGGGTTCAGACCCGGGTTAGACCCAGGGTTAGGTTGGGTTAGATGCTAGGGGATGCATTATGTCCGTGAGGGTCCTCACAGACATGGAGGTGTGTGTGTGTGTGTGTGTGTTTTAAAATGACCTTCATCGTGAGCACAGCCAGAACAGCTGAACGCCCTGCAGTCAGAGCCGGCGTAGCTGCAGCTAGTGGTTATTTCCATTATCAGCTAATCTGTGGATTAGCTGCCAAGACAAAACGTATTAACTGTTGGTCATTAAAATATCAGATAAATGTTCAAAGTCCAAAGTTTTTCTTCAGACATCTTGTTTTGTCCAAAACCCAGAGACTGAGATTACTGTAGTACAAAACCGCAGCAGTTCTCAGAGCATGCGAGGTTAAACGTTACGTTAAAACTAGAGGCGTGTGATACCACTTCTGTCAAACTCGGTGATTTATGGCCGTGATGTCACCAGTGCCATAAGCCCTGCCCACTTTTTGCACTTTGCTTCCTCTAGATCAAAGGGTATATTGTTTTATTATTTTATGGAGCGTAGTTAAATTCTTCCAAGGATTTCACACCTATATATTAGAGATTCACTTCGAAGCACTTTATTATAGGACTGACAGACGTTATACACCATAATTTATGGTTCTATAACAGCATTAAAGGATTTAATGCTGGTCTCCAGTGGGAATAGGACCAAACCACACCCCCTAGACTATGGTTATTGCATCACAGGGGGGTTATTTTTTATTGCTCTCTGAATATTTTATAGATGTAAGGATTAATGTTTCTCTCTAAATTAAATAATCTTAAGAAAAGCATGTGCTTCACCTCAAAGGTAAGATTAAGGACTGTTTCAACCGCTTGGTTGAGGGTTACTTTGTTTCAAACCATATATTTGATTAAAGTATAAACAGGATCATTTGAATTTTGGGCAAAGTGAATGTTTCTACTCACTGTATGAGCTAGTTTAGGGTTTTCTCTCTAAATCTTGATTAGTGTAAAAACCAAAATAATTATTTGTTTCTTGTCATTTGTGTTGTAATCAAATAAACAGTAAATTAATATTGTGAATTAAAAGGTGGTTGTTCCACCCCATGTGTAATGTACTGGAACTTTAAGAATTTAAATCAAATGAATTTGAATAAGACAAATGTAACGTTCTAAATTAAAACACACATCAGATGTTCTTTAAAACTTACCCGCTCCTTTCTCTTTTCAGAAACTACGTTTTAACAGGCATTCCCAGTTTGACTTTAACAGAGGACATACCCTTATGTTCCCTCAAGTAGTGAAAACATTAAATCCATCACGTAGCGTAAAATACATTCCAGTTCAGAAACACGTTTCTTCCGAGAAGCGCTGACGCCAGCTGACGGAGACAGAACATTACTGGGTGTAAGATGGTTGGCGTCGGTGCAGCAGGTCAAGCAGCTACATCAGCGTCTGAACAGGACAGGTTTGGTTTCACTGAGTCCACACATGCTGCAGGTCACCGAGGAAGACTTTAGGATGAAGTACCTCATGTCCGTTCGACATCTTTCACATTGTTTTTATTCACTGATGAAACAAACTGTTTCAGTCATAGTTGTCTTTTTCAAATGTCATTTGATCTTGTTTTCAGATGTTTTCCTTTGGTTGTGGCTGCACGAAGCCACGTTCCTGAGAACATGATATCTCAGGAATGTCTTGGGGGAATCTGTTCAAATTTGGCACAAACATCCACTTGGACTCAAGGATGAGCTGATTACATTTTGATGGTCAAAGGTCAAGGTCATTGTGACCTCATGTCTGTCATTCTTGTGAATCTGACTGGTTGATGGAGGCATACGTTCCAATTTTAGCCTCGGTTTTTTTTTGAAAATGACTGAGATTATTGAAATTTGTTCTAAATTTCAGCTCAGTACCATGACCAGACCGTTACCTGCACTTGCCTCTAAATGACTAAATCAAATCCAGATGTGACCTGCACCCTGACCCAAACTTGTAGCATTAATGCCCCACACAGTCGTTCAGGTTTAAATCCCAGTGGCGTCACAGAAATACCATGTCATCAGAACACACTTTAACCCCCCACGTGCAGACGTTGAGTTCTTAGACCTTTGATATGGGACCATGTGGCAGCCTCACTGTGACCATGCAATGGAAAGGGGCCATGGTGACGAGGGAAGGGTTTCTGTCCTGTTTTGTCCGGGCAAAGCCTTTAACTGGGATCAAGTCAATCCAGTCATATGTTCTGTCTCCTCCTGACTCGACTGTTGCCGCGCTGTTTCTTAATCCCAAATGAGTAAAAAGTGTCATTAAAAGCAAAGCTGATGTAGAACAAGCTTCTGTCCCAACTTTGTGCTGCAGCGCTTTACACAACACAGTTAAGTTAGTCAGTGAAAAACACTGAAAACCTTTTCTTGTACTTTTGTCAAGGTAAAGCACAGATTTTAGTTTTTATTGCATTTTGGAAAATGTTCCAGCTTTTCTGTAAATGGGGTTTGTACTAGGAGTACTACTGTGTATGTGAAAACCAGTATAAAGCCTTTACTGTGTGTGAAGCCAGCGTGGAGCGGCCTTCACTCTCCCCTCAGCGGTTCTGCCAGTCTCTGGGTTCACATCTCCGTGTGTGTGGATGACTAAATTTGTCTAAAAGAAACGACACAAACCTTGTAACGTGTCCGTGTTGAACATGTGGAATGTTTACAGGCTAGAAAAGCGGCATGAGAGGTGAACTGGAAGTGATCGGGTCTGTCTGTTTCTGCAGCCAGACGTCAGGAGGAGGAGGGAGGAGCCAGGAGGATGGATGTTCACCTGCCCTCCAACAGGCCGGAGGAGGACTTGCTCAGTGTGGCAGCAGATACGGATTCGTCCACCAACTAGGTTTTCTAAACAGGAAGAGAGCATGAGGACCGACCTGCCTGTACCTTCGTTCGTCATCCATCCACCCAGTTGCACTCTGGGAGATTTAATTAAAGTAACAATCTGAAACCAGACTAGTTTTGTTGCTGCTGATTATTTCAGTGTCCGACATGTTTCTCTTCATCCTTCGACTCTTCAGCAGATAACACACGTCTCCTACTCTGATTGATGATTTGATCCTATTCAAAGCCCATTCATCATGGGAGGACGTGCTTTTCCTGTGACCTTTGACCTCTGTTTGTACATTTACAGCAGTTAATATATCATCATGACAAACTGGACACAACTCTTCTGTTCATGTTTGAGTCCTAGAATCAGACTGGGTGTGGATTCAGAATTTGTGAATTCAGTCTGATCAGTGATCAGTAACACTGATCCATATGCTCACACAGTGTTTTTTTAAATAAGCGCTTTTAATATTTTAACCATTTTACATTTAAGAAGAAAAGGCGAGGCATCACCCTTCAGGAAGATGGAAGCTAGGAGCTAAGGTGAGGAGTTTTCAGATGTTTCAGACTGAAGTTCTTTGTGTTTTGTTAGTGAGTCTTGACATTTTCAAGGCTTCTGAGGGCAGGAACACTGACCACACCTGGAAACTGCCCACTGGAGCAGTGGGGGGTCAATGAGGGAGGGGGTGGCATTAGTCCACCAGTGCCTTTGCTTCATTCTTTCTGCTTTCATGCAGCATTTTTGCACAAAGATTTTGTGCAAGTTTAAACTGTGGGAACTATCAAACACACACGCACACTGCTGCAGTGACTAAGTGGCTTAGTCAGCATACACACACACACACACACACACACATAACAAAGCAGAGCAAACTGATACCAGCACACACAGTCAGTGGGTTGGAGATAAGAGGATGATGATGAGCAGGAAATGGGATCAGTGAAGCAGCAGGAGGCACAGGGAGACTGACACTGAACAGGACATGTTTGTACAGCTGCCTTTGTGGGGACACTCACTGAGGTAATGCATCCCTTAGCCCCAGGCCCTAACTCTAAACCTAGTTCTGACCAGAACCCTGAAACCAGGTCTGAACCCTCAACAGCCCCTAGAAAGAGTGAGCAGACAGCATGTCCTGGTAGAGAAGGTTTTGAGCCAATGTTTGTCCCCACAATCGTAGAGAAATGCACACACTCATTCTGGTAGTGGTTTTTAATAACCAAAAACCTGGACCTGGTGTGAATGGCTCAGACCTTCTGTCCTGATGATCATCGGCTCAGTGTGTGAACTTAGTGAGTGGGAGTATTGATCAGTTCTGTGGATCCGTGTGTCTGTCTACAGATCAGTATTGTCAGACGAAGGATTAAACTTAAAGAAGCTGCAGAGGACCAGCTGATCTCTGGGCTCAGGACACACTGCTGAGATAAGGAAGCCTGACGTACTGGTAAACTTTCTGAGATGGTATGAGACGTGTAGTTACCGCTGATTGAAATGGTATATACACTGCTACAAGTAAACGTCCTGCATTCAAAGGTTGACTGAAGTACAGGTGTTTTGGCAATAAAATATAGTCCGGGTACTAAAAGTACTTATTATAAAAAATCATAATCCAGTAATATGATTATGTATAATAAGTACTTGTGGGGCGCAGGCTCTCTGGTAGGCTAGTGGTTAAGGCGGAGTGCTCTCTGGTAGGCTAGTGGTTAAGGCGGAGTGCTCTCGGGTAGGCTAGTGGTTAAGGCACAGGCTCTCTGGTAGCCTAGTGGTTAAGGTGCAGGGTCTCTGGTAGGCTAGTGGTTAAGGCGGAGTGCTCTCTGGTAGGCTAGTGGTTAAGGCACAGGCTCTCTGGTAGGCTAGTGGTTAAGGCACAGCGCTCTCTGGTAGGCTACTGGTTAAGGCACAGCGCTCTGGTAGGCTAGTGGTTAAGGTGCAGGGTCTCTGGTAGGCTAGTGGTTAAGGCGGAGTGCTCTCTGGTAGGCTAGTGGTTAAGGCACAGCGCTCT